GACTTGGGGTTGCGCAATTCCTTGGCATTTGTTCCATAGGGCCATAGGATGTTGCAAATGTCCTTCACGCCATTTGGATGGGTGTGAAGAGGAGCCTTTGTAATTTGTGGTCGTGAGGTGGCCGCAGGAAGTACTAGGTGGCATTGGGCTGCTGTTGCGGTGTTGTCGAGCAGGTTCTTTCGGGGCATCTCAACTCAAATGGGCCGTGTCCTTCAGAAATTGACCTTCTCAGGGAGTTGTTGCAACATGTCCTGTTTTCGACATGGATGATCCTGGAAGCTCAAGTTGTTGAGCAGCCAAAACGGCTCAAAATCCAACAATAGCTCTCGCGCCATGCTTTTCGATTGGGAAGAGTTGGGAAAGGCGGAGGAGGCGTTGGAGCCTCCTAGTAATTTTCATTTTTGCTCTTTGTGGTGGTTTAGTGCTTTCCCGCGCGCGTGTGCAATATTTGGTGCCGTTCTTGCACACAGTCTGTTACACAACAGAGTTTGCCTGATGTTGTTGCTTTCCTGAGGGTGTTTGGTGCTTTCGTGCGTCCACGTGCACTGTAATTGCGGTGCCATTCCTTCAAGCGCTCTGGCTCTGTGACACGACAGAGTTTGGCTGATGGTTTTCTTGAGGCAGGGAGCTTGGTGTTTCCTTGCACCCACGCGCCCAATGTAGCGCCTTTCTTGCAAGCACTCCGTGACACCACAGAATTTGCCTGGTGTTTTGGTTTTGCTAAGGGGGTTGGCGCTTTAGTGCACGCACGCGCCCCATTTAGTGCCTTTCTTGACAGCACTCTGTGGCGCAACAACAGTTTTCCTGATGCTTTTGTTTTCTTAAGGCTGTTTGGTGTCTTTTGGTGTGCGCAGCGCTCAATTTCGTGCTGTTCCTGCAAACACCCTGTGACACAACAGAGTTTGCCTGATGCGTGTGCTTCTTGAGGGTGTTTGTGCTTTCCTGCACGCGCGGAGCCCCATTTCGTGCCGTTCTTGCAAGCTCTTTGTGTCTGTGACAAAGTGGAGGTATGTTCCGACATTAAACCTTCCAAATGATTCACATCCTCTGGATCATTCAGATCACGGTAAGGGCTATGATTGGGGACCAAAAGCAATTTCAAAAAGCTAAGTGATGAATCAGCCATGATAAAACAAGTGATCTACATGATCTAATGGGTTCAAATCTTTTAGCCCAGAGGGCGATGACAGCATGGACAGAAAAAATCAAGGGTCCAACAATTTAGAGCGTGTCTGAAAGAATTGTGGCATGTAGTAGAACTGAGTTTGTGTATATTGGATAGTTGTGCATTTGTCATTCGGCATATGTGTTGTTGAATATGTACCTATGCATGTGTTCATATATATATATAGACACAGTATGTGTATGTATGTGCAACGTGCAAGACTCTGCAACTATATGTGCATGTATAGTTAAAAGTCAGAGAGGCCATGGTCGTAATGACCCAGAACTTACGAACACATCGCATGTATGTTGCTATTGAATACCCTACGCTGTTTCATTGTCCGTGCCCCTTCGGCATGGATTTTCTTCACCTTAGACGCCAAACTTTTAGATGCCAAATTCTGGGAAAGCAACGGCCATGTTGTTGCAGAATTTTTTCTGCTGAAGCTACATCATGGGTGCTTGAGCAGTGGCTAAATTCTTTTTTGGGATGCAGATACGAAAACTTCTACCTTGCCATGAAAAACCTTGGGCTTAGGGTTACGGTGGGGGTTTGGGGCGGGATCAGGGATTAGGGTTTGTTATATAGGGTTCAGAGTTTATCTGTTTGGAGGTCCTTACAGCCGTGGAGGGCTACCAGTGGCTGAGGGCTGGCGAAGCCGTGGTGGTGGATGACTTTGGGGGCGGTTGGGCCTTTGCCCTGCAGTTCGGCCCCTGCTGCGATCAGGCCATCATGCTTTACTGGGTGGTCGGGTTATCTCACGTCGGCTGGTTTTTTTACACGTTGAGCAGAGTCCACACTGTGGGACCCAGTTCACAAGCATCTGCAGCAGTTTGGTCAGGTGTGGGCTCGCCAGCAAGCTACAAAGTCCCAAGCCGGAAAACGGAGGCTGAACTTTCCTAATGAGAGCAGTATCTGAGTTTCGCCTCGCAACTACATGGTGCGCAAGTCTTTTATTGAAAAGGTAGAGCATTCCAACTCAAACTCTGGGTTTTTGATGGGCTGGAGTTTGAATTTTCCCCGCATTGTCGTTGACATTCCATACATGTTGGTGGGAGTGTTAATGCAAACAGGTGCCTGGTGTACCAGGACCGGACTTAGGACATGTGCCGTATCTGAGCCCCTTTTGCTAAGGTAGTATAGATCTGGGGTGGCGACGAAGGCCATCCTGACTTCTACAGTACAGCGTGCCCACCCTTTCTGGGTCCCTAGCATTGTGGCTGTGATCTCTTCAGGGACCCACGCGCTTTCTGTAGTCCGACGGGTGGTTTCGATCCCAGATTCCGGTGGGGGAGGGAGCTGTCCAAAATGCTGGCTCCACTTGCTGGAGTCCCGTTTCCAACAACTCCGCAAAGATTTGGCATGCCCCAACACATACCTTTCACAACCCTCCAGATCTTACCTGCAGGAAGCCGCGCCCGCTTTCACACGCTCCGTGGACCTGGACTGGGCATTAGAGTTCTCTAACTCAGGCTTGCGATGTAGAGTTGCAGCTGGGGATTCTACTTGGGGTACGTGCTTCACAGACTTGATGCTCCAAAGCACCACATTCAAGGATGTGTTTGCCCTGTCGGGTTTTTCTAGTGTCAGGTTGAGGTGCTGAAAAAGCGACAGTTGGGCTGTCAAACTGCGCCTCTGCAAATACCAGAGGGAGTTGCTGCAAGCAGCACAGCCTTTCCAGAAGTTTGTCGAGCTCAAGGAACTTGAAAGCCAAAGTCTTGGTAAGGGTCATCGTGCCTTCCACCATGAATTCTATGAACTCCAGTAAGATCGCCACCAGATTCCCTCCTCTAGCCCATTTCAAACACAAAGAAGCAGCGTTGGGCGAGGAGCGCATCTTGGAACTCGCGCGGCCGAAGGTCTTCGGTGAGCCGCAGGTAGGAACCTACACGGTTCAGAGTGCAGGGTAAAGAGCAGAGTTCCCTGATCCTACGAACTTGGGTTTCTTCAAAGAATGTTGAAGGAAGTGGAGCATGGGTTTTCAATATTAGTGGAAGTGATTGATTATTCGGCATTTGCACCCTCAGACCTCCAGCGCAACGCTCGATCCTGAACTGTGGGGCACGTTTGTTTTTGGTAGGTCTCTGTGAGGGGAAGTGGTTGGAAGTCTCACTCCCAGGATGGAGATTGGCTCTAACTTCACAAGGGTCCTGACTCCCTGAGCGCTCAAAGCTGTTTGGCTGCTTTCAAGTTTGAATGCGCTCAAGGCTTGCAAGGGTTGGGAGGTTTGTTGGTTCAGAGCTTGTTGTGGAAGCGTGATGAATAGCAAGACTCTTGCTACAGTTTCTGAGCACGCTACTGGAGGTTTTGTCTCAAAACGTGCTGCCGCTGTCTGAACACAAGCCTTTGAAAGCAAGAACGTGTGTAGAACCTGCCTTTTTTCATTTTCTCAATATCCCCCGGCCCTGAAGCCTCAATCCCTTTGTGTCCAAACATGTGTATGTGCAGATCTAATGCGTGACAGCTGCGAAATTCAAGTTGTGGGTCCAGACAAAAATTTAGAGTGTCAGGAGCTTAAAGGTTGAATGCCTGCGCAGCCTTCTTGATTTAAGGTTGCCCTGCAGTCCCAGAATCCTCTTGGGCGCATTCCCTGTCGACTCCAACGTGAGGGTCCTCTGCAACTCTACTTAGAGAGAATTTAGTTCTACAGCCCCAGATCCTTACTTCAAAGTTTCGGCTCTCTCCTATTTTCTTAGAAGCACTTGGTCAGGCTTGGGGTTGAGCAAAAACAATGCTTCTACCTGGTTAGTAGAATCCCACGAAACGACGAGATTGCCGATGGCAACAAAAGTCCGTCGTGCACTGTTGGCGAAGGCCACCCCGGTTGTTCTGCGCATCAGCCGCGCTGAAGAGGCAAAGTTGTGGGAATTCAAGAGTGGTTGAGAGTTTGAGTGGTGTCGAGGCTTTCAAGATGTGAGGCCCCCTGGCTTGTGTTTGCAGGATTTCTTTGTGCGTGCACGGCTCGTTGAAATTTGTGGTATGTTCGCGGCCTAGGTCAAGAACCCCCATCATTCCGTGGGAGGTTGGCGGCAATGGCTTTATGATGACCGAACGTATGCAACAAAGTGAGCCTGCAACTTTGCAAGGCTTGGTTATGTTGAAGAGCCGCTGCACCCGGAACGGGAAGCCCTACCCAACATCTCGAACCCTAAGGCCAAAAGCCCACGCCCGAAACTGAGAACCACAACGCTTCCATAGCCCCAAAAACAAAGTCCTCTGAGGGGACACTATAGTAGCCAATATCGACTGCGATCATTTTCTCCTTCTGCTTTACATGCGGTAGAAGAAGATCATCTTATTTGGTTCAACCACCCAACAAATACTACTCGACACGGTTTCCTCATCCCAACTCCTTCGGTTCTGCATGCGCAGGCGGCGCGAGAGCTGGCCCTGCGAGAACTGGCGAAGCCGATGCTGATCCGATCTAGCTCTCCTCACTAGTGGTTAGTAGCCCTACAGCTGCTGCGGCGTTTAGGGTCGAGGGTTGGCATGCTGAAGAATCAAATGGAGGAGAGCATAGAAAATGACATGGAAGCTGGGAATATGTAAGAAGGGAATGGAATTGACAATGGAAGCTACCACAGAGTTTTGGGTCTAGGGGCGAGTAGCAGGGAATGCAGGAATGGATCCTTGTCGTAGTCCCTGCATAATCCACACGTCCATAATCATAATTACTCAGTTCCTCTTCATCGCTTACTAGCTTCCAGCAGGTCCTTCTGCCCAGCAATTGTTTTTTGGAAGCTCGTACGCAAGTATTCGGAAGTATATATGATTATTGGGCACGTTGACCTCCAGGGTATATTTGAAGGCTTTGCCTTGTTCTGCTGCCGCGCCAATGCGCTCACCTTGGCTGGCGTGTCTACGCTTCGCTGTGTATGTGGCTTGCTGATGTCAATAGTCCCCTACAACCCAGATCTCGAAGTTTTTCCTGAGGACTCACTGTGTTTTCGCACCACCGCATTATTTCTGTTAAGAACCTGAGCCCCCCTGTCTGCTTCGGAAATCTTGATTTGGCGCTTCCGCTCGAACACCGATCGGTCGTTAACATGGGGTATGATTTGGCAATTTGGCAGTCCATGCTCTTGGTTTGTAGCAACCCAGCAACACAAACCTGGCATTGCCCAGCATCTCTAAGGAAAGTGCGGGCAGAGGCGCTACGGGCATTCCACGTTCTGAAATTGCGGGTTTCGACAGTTTCGAGCTGTGGAGAGGGTTCTTTTTGTAAGTGTCGTGAAATTACAGCTGCTTCTCGAGGGCTTAGGTACCAGGGTTGCCGGAAGCCCCAAACTAAACCCGCAGCCCGGCCTCCCTAAGCTTGGGAGTCCAATCCTTATAGAGACCTTCATTGTAGGGCAGATCTGCTAGCGCCAGTTCTCAGTGCTTTCCTACAGCCCCAGCCTTCGCTGATTTCAGAGGTAGCCATGGAGATATTTCACCAATCCGCGCTCCTCCGCTACCTACTGAATTTTCTGTTATACATTGATTCTCCATTTTTTCATGATGACAGGGCGGCCGCTAGCCTTTAGAAGGTGGGCGTCGTGACTTGACTTCTACCGTTTAGCGTCCCGGTGCTTTGCCACAATTTGCTTCCGTAAGATTTCTTGTCCTACTGAGAGTCATAGATGACCTCAAAACCTCAAGCCAAGGCTCCAGGGACCAAATGCAGTCTGACAAGTGGCCCAAAAGCGTCTGGCATATCTGAAGCATTTGAAAGTTCGGAGGCAGCCATAGCCTTAACCTTAGGGCAATAGACCTGCAGCCCTCAAACCTCAAGCGCGAAACCATGACCGCAACATCTCTAACACTATAAGCCCCAAGTCCATAAGCCCTGAGCCCCATAAATCCTATAATTACAGGCTCAACCGAATCTTGTTTTGGGTTCATGGTTTCTTGGGCACGCCCATGCAGGCACAGGTAGCGCCGGTGGAGGTGGCGACCGCGCCAGCTCGGCCGGTGGATTCGGAGTGCCTGGGACTGGCTGACATGTGAGATTCTCACAGGAGGGGTTCTAGCAGTAAGGAGGGTTACAGGGTCCACACTCAAGATTGCTATGGGAGAAATGGGAGAAACTTCCAGATTGCAGTTTCGTAGCACCTGGAGGTTCATGGTACCTGGTAGCAAGGTTTGGGAAACCAGGTGTTTTGCATGTTCAGGGTGAGTAATCGAAAGTTGGACAGGCCGTCGGGCTCCAAGCCAGTGGAGTTTCAAGTAGATGCATTTAGGGTGGAAGGCCTTCGGGTTGGGACCCATGGAACTTAACGCACTTTAGAGGCGCAGGATTTCAGTCAGCGCTTCATGCAATTGGATTTTGGTCCTAGTTTGGATAACGTTCTGCGACAATAAGTGAATTCCGATTTGTTTTCGGGTCTGATCTGGCTTAATTAGTTCCGTGTGGCGTCCAGGCTGCGTCTCCCTTTTTTCGTGTGCACCTCCGGGAGCTGGGCCATGTGTTGCTGATGCGGGGCCTGGCTCATTCGAATCCAGGATTGGGTGTAGATTATGTTACTGTAGGTATAGATGGATTATCAGGGGGGATTGTTTCTCATCATTCAGGCTTCTACATCACTGCAAAACGGTCTGGCCAAACATGACCTAAGGCAGAAAGAATAAGGAGCTATGGCAACCACAGTGGGATCTTTCAATCCCTGTTCAGGTTCTGTCAGGAGGTATGGAGACCTTTGTAGCCTACAATCCGCTTGGATGGCAAATTCCAGAAAACGGAAAAAGTTGTTGAAAAGGTTGTTGATGCCTTATGACACGTTTCTACCATATCTATAGCCCCTCCATCGCCTCTTAAGCCTTTTAGCTTCAAGGGGTGAAGTCTCCTTCCCGCTCCATGATCCACTCCGAGGCGACTTGCTGCCCTGGCCGCACCGCGCAGCTCGACAGTTGAAAGCGTGGTGGTTTGGAGGGCTTCCGGCCTAGAGAGCCTCACACTGAACCCTAAATCCTAAACCCGAAGACGCTACCAGGCGTTGCCAGAGTTGCAGCTTCCAACTGAGAGTTGCCATTCCGGGCTTCAGGGGTACAGCTTTGATGCAGGCGTAGGGATGAGGGTGCGGGGCTTTTGGGTGACAGAGTTTCGGGTTTCCTGTAGGAAGGAAGATTTAGGGGTGAGTGTTAAGAGTTCAGCATCCAGGGTCTAGCGCTGAGGTTGTCCCCTCCCAAACCCGACTTCCTTAAGTCACCCCACATTTTCGATCCGCAGCTTCAAGCCCTACACCATAGAAAGTCAGTACCATGAAATTTGTAGTCGACCTGAGGATCTGGGAATCTTATCAAAAATGCCACCCAAAAGGATCCTGAAGCGTGATCCTCATTTTCCCCCGACATGCCCAGGGTATTGCGAGTAAGTACCATAATCTATATTCATGCTTAAGTGGGGAACGGGCAAAGACATCCTCATGCATGTACCATAATGGTCGCAGTGATTGTCCCTACAGCCCATTCCTCCCTCCCAGCTAAGCATGAGCAAGATTGGTTGCGAACCCCACCCTGGGTTTATGAGGGTACCTCTTCATGATTTTTTTCGGACCTTTAGAGCACTGCCTAGCACACCATCGGAATGGAAGCACACATCCTGAGGGCGGCCAAGCGAGCCCCATGACCGGACTCCCAGCAAGGCTTGCCCCTGGGGGGTGGGATGGGGTGGGTGGGTTTGGCCTGAAATTGTTGTTCCTTTCTGGCTCGCGCAACCGCAAAGCCTGCGTCGCCCTCACCGCTTACGGGTCGTTTCAAGGAATGTGTAGCGTAGAACGCTAAATCCAACAAGTCTTTTGGTGGCCGAGGGCTCACGGTTGAGCGGTGTGAACGCTTGTGCCTAGGGTTACAGCTTCAAGCTTCCATCAACTAGGCTGTTGCATTTGGTATGCGCGGGTTGACACTTCGGCAAGTAAGGTTATTGTAGTTGTAGATATGGCAAAAGCCGCTTTGCCTTCAAGCTGCCCTCAAGCTTGAGGTGGATGACGGATCGATTTAATGTATAGGTGGGATGTTTCACCAGGTGTTTGTGCACACGTGCGGCACCTTTGCGGTTTCGTTCCCGTACGTATTGGGCTGGGGAAGAACATTTCAGACAACTGTAGTAATAGATGCGCGTACTCAAAGGTCCTAGTGGTTTGAGATTGAAGTGCGCTGTAGGGTTCAGAATGAAGGTTCGGTGTTCGGGCCACGTGTTTTTGGGTGTATGGGACTGGTGCACGGCTCGGAGGTTTCTGGAGACATTCTGACATGCAGTCATCGTCAACACTAGTAACCTGTGGTTTAGCACTTGTCGCCCTGGACTTTCTGCTTTTCTTTTCTGCAAACAGGGCATGGATCACTTGCAGATGGGCTATGGTCTATGCAGCTAAACCCTGAACTTTAAACGCGAAGGCCTAAACCGTCTACAGGGGCCTCTTGGCCTTCTGAATTTCTGAGCGTATTTCGGCTTGTGTGGCTGTGAGCTGCACCGCTTCTCTACGGGGGTGTAGGCTACAAGGAGTAGGAGAAAAGCTTGATGTGGCTCTGCCACAGCGTAGAGGCTGCCCAGTCATATTCTCAACATAGCTTTCTGCTTCTTGTAAGTTGAGAAACCAGACACCTAGTTTCAAAGCAACCCCATTTTGTCAAAATCCATAAGCCTGACTAGTTGGGCAGGAGCCTACCAAGCGCCGTCGAAGAAAGAGGCCTGGCATGCTGGGCAAGAGCAGGTTCAAGGGCCCTACAAGAGAGGTGGATATTTCAAAGTTGTGGATGTATCTTCGAAAAACTGCGCACCAGGAAGGTTATCAGATGTTGCTTGGGGTTTTTCATTTTAACTTTCTGAATCGAAAGTTTGAGTTGGCGGTCCACTTGCAGTGGCAGGGCAGGTATTGTGCACTTTAAAGTTGGAGGGCTAAGACTTGTCATTGGCCGAGGGATTGCATGTTTCGTGTCGAAACTTTTCCCTTGCAATGTCTTTATAGAAAGCAAGGGACAGAAGCCACGTGCTCGAATCCTCTTGACAAACTTTCCAACCCTGCTTCGGGAGCCTCCGATACAACAACCACCTCGAGCACTGTCTGCTTACCCAAAGAACTTACCCCTGTCGTAGTCCCCTCAAGCACGGATATGGTAGGCTCATGTAGTTTCCCTAAATAGGGGGACCCCAATATGGACCCCAATATATTTTAGACTATGGTCCTCATGAGATTAATCTAGGGACCCCCAAAATGTAGCCCTGATTTTGTCGAACCTCCATATTCAATGTTAGAACACCAATCCATATTATATATTATAATGTATTATAGTATACTACAACCTGTTAAAATACATTGTAATAAGTTATAACAGATTTAGCGCATATTTTTATAGTCCCCAAACATCCAGGAGCAAGCTCCGCCTCCTGGCGCTTGTTCAGTCTCGCGTGGAAGGTCCGGCCATCTCTACGTACGGGCTATGGTGTTTACTGTAGGAACCAGGGGGATCAAGGTTCAGTCATAAGAATTGACTGATCCTTGAGGTGAGATGAAGGTGTGACTGTATCTAGTATTTGCATGTATTTTGAGCTTCTAAAGCTCGAGGGTTCACGTTGATGCTAATGGGAAGAAAGGTATGCTGGGTCTGTATTGGGCTTGCTACGTTAAAGAAACTTCCACAGGGCTTCTCAGCGACGCAGAAAAGTAGTGGCTTGAAAGGTTCGCGTGGTAGTTAAGTACTAGAGCTTTATTTATGACATAGTTCTCAGGCACATCTTACTCCAATTCGAATTGCATGAACTTTCACACAGGAATCCAAACCGAGGCCGGCCTCGCCCATTGGAGATTGTATCGTAACACGTAGGCAAGCAGCAAGTCGTAGACGAGTTTCACTGGGTTCTTTGTTGCCAGACGTCTTTAGCGAAAGCAGCTGGGCTCAATGGGGCTAAGATGGCAGACAGTGCAAACTCTTTTCCCGAGCTTGGGTAGCTGTTTGGGTCAGAACAGGACAGGGATGGCCCCCAATCGCAAACACGATTTTGGCCTCCTTGAAGTGATCATGTCTTGCAGTCATTCAAAGGACAGATTATACCTGGACGGTTTATGTATCCCTGTTGTGTTCCTAGCATCCTTAGCTACCTTGGTCCGTGTGGGGGGTAGTTGGAGGATTCTGGTATTGCTACCTAACCTGAAACAATACATTGGTTGGGGACCAGAATCGGAAAGTTTCTAAAATGAGCAGTGTGTGGTGACTTGGCTTGTAGCCTATGCCTGTAAGATAGAGCCGAACCAAATCTCATATTATTCTTAGCTGAAGAAGCCCTTGCACCAACGAAATCTCATAAACAGCCCCCCTTACCTCACTGATGATTAGAGTCCGTACATTCCCTATATCAACCACCACTAAGCTAGAGCTACAAAGCTGTCCTGCATAGGCGAGGAGTCTGGTCAGGAGGCGACAGCTGCGGCGGAGGAGGAGGCAATCTTTGAGGGGAGAGGGAAGGGGTGGGGCATTGGGCTATTGAGTCAAGTCGCAGTCTGTGTGTGGATGGATATTGGACTTTAAATCAGACCATGGCATGGATTGTTTAGTTGTTCGTTCTCCAGGGATTGACTGACTAGGGCGTTTGGTTGGATGAGCGCGCTTGGTTGTTCGTAGGATTATCTATGTGCAGAGGGACATGTTGTTGAGTGTCTTTGGTTTTGGGAGTGTATCTTTTCCGGCTTTGCGGTGAAATGTATTTAGGGCCCTGTCGGTATACGATTTTACGCCGGATTGCTTCCTTGTGGTTAGCGGCTTTGGGTTGGGATTGCATTTTGGATTCTTGTGTGGGATTTGTCTTCGGGTTTTGGATGGTTGGAAGGGTTGCTTCCTTAGTTGATCAAGAAATGCGAGCAAAGCATGAGGGGTAATGTGATGTGAGGTCCAGGGTCAGCAAGTGTTTACTTGGCCCGTCAGGAGATATCATCTTGGGGCCAAACAACACGCAGAATGACTGAAGCCTGTTTCTATGAGAATGGGCGGTAGAACCATTCCCAGAGCGTGAATAAAATTAGCTTCTTGAATTGCTTTCTGCCATTGGCAAATTGGTAAGGCCAAAAAAGTGTGATCTTTTGTTTTCCGAGGATGACAGCGCTGACGGAGATGATGATGAAGCACCGGCAGCGCTCCTGACGTCAAGTGCCTCAGGAGACCTTCTCGGTTTGGCGCGTAGGGTCCTGCGCAAACCTCTCAGCCCCTCTCCTAGGTCGACTAAACGTAGATCCATCTAAGAGTTGGACTTTCTGGACGGAATTTAATTTCATTTAGTGCGCGGTGATTAGTTTGTTCATGTTGACCTGTTGACAGCCCCAACAGAGGAGGCCCACCTTGATTTACCTCTGCTGTTTGATCAAGATCCTAGCTATTAATTGTTGTTTTTCTTGTGAAGTTGTGGATATGCTTCGAGGGTAGGTATAATGAGGGCTCAAAGTGTTTAATTTCTGTTATCCGGATCATCCAGCTTCCCGCAGCAGCTCCGAGCACATAATTTGAGAATTCGTGAGATGCAACTCATACTCCCATGATTTTGAGCTGCTCAGGAAAGCTTTTTGCAGTATGGAAGCTAGGTCTGGTGTAGAGATCGGGGTTCCAAAGTATCTAAAAGTTGGGGTTTACACTTTGTAGTCGTATGAGGGTGTAGATTTGGAGGTTGGGGGGTTTAGGCTTCATGGCTTTGATTCTTGAAGTCTGCTAGGCTGGGATGCTGATGCATGCCGATGGGTCAGGATCATCTGCCGAAATCTAAGCCCTACAACCCCAAACACGATGCCTATCCGCGCCTGCACTCAGGGCAAGTTTGCCCACATGCTCTTGCAGCAAATACAGGCTTACTTCTCATGGCAGGGCAGAGTATCAGGATAGTTCCTCATCGCTATAGTTTTTGAGCATTAAAGGTCAAATGTTATGAACATGGTGGTAAAGTTTTATCTGGTCTAAACAAATGCCCGGAGGGGTATGATATTGACCCTGAAGCCGAGCCTTGACCCTCAATCCCTAAAGCAATTTCCTGAACCCTAGATCCTAAACGCTAGATCCCAAACCCGAAATCCTGAACCTTCATCCTTAACTCTAAACTCAACAACCTAAACCCTACGTCCCCATGTGAGCCATAGTCTAAACTCCTTAAAGGGTGTTATATGGGGGATTATGTAGGGGACTAGTTATTAAGGGGGATACCAGGAGTTTAGACTATAGCTCAAAAATTGACGACAGACTCAATGAAAGTCCTTTCCGAGGCCTCCTGCTGCCGAACTGCGGACAGAGGAGATCCTTCTGGCCGAGGTGCGGCGGCACGCTTTGGGGTACACCTACTTTTGGTTAGCTGGGAAAGAAGGAATGGAAAAGCAAATGGATACTGCTATAATAGGTTATATAGGTTTAGGTTTAGGGTTTAGGCTTCAGGGTTTAGAAGGAATGGAGAAGAAAGTGGAAACTACCAGTAATAATGGGTTTTATAGGGACTACTATAAGGATCCCCTCCGTCATTCCTAGCTGGCCGAAGGTAAGCACAGAATTACAAGCGGGTAAGGGTCAGGGGTCAGGGTTTCTAGAGCCCATAGGGATACAGTTTGGGGTCATGAATTTCGGGGTTCTAGGACTTCAGGGAGTAGCTTTTGGGGTCTAGAATTTAGGGGATTCTGGAGCTTTGGGAGTAGGTTTGGGGCCCAGAGTTTGGGAAGTAGGGCTAAGGGATTATGTGAGACTCATGGTGGGGGGATGCTGATGGCTGGCACTCCTGGGCCAGCTCAAGCAAAGGCTGTGGGAAGATGCAACCCCGATTTGACTTTTCCTAGACAACATGTTATTATAGGGGTTATAGAGTAATGGAGAGTCAAATGGAAGAGAAAATGGAACATGAAGTGGAAACTCGCATTATAGGGTAGTTTATGGACCCTGGTACTCCGGCCATGAGGCCTTTTGTTTCCCTGGGCTTCGTAAGGGTACCTCTAGTGCCTTCTACAGTTAACAGCCTCAGTGCCAGGCAGCAGCACCAGCCTTGAGACACGAAGAAGAAGAGCAGCAGGAGGTGGAGGTTGGTGCGGAAGCTTTCGGGTTGACAGCCTAGGGTTTGCTTACTGGGGGTTCGTAGGGAATAAGGGAATATACTATATAAGGATTATGTGGGGATCATATTCCTTAACTCCTTACTAGACTCCAGTAAGCTTAGGATTGAGAGTGGGCATTGATCGGGTTTAGGGTCAAGTTTTCTGGTTTCGCTGGCTCACAGTATACTTATTACCAAGGTGCCGTCCTTACTCACTCCAACAGTTTTCAAAATAGTGGTCCAAAGCTTATAGAAACAGCCTCCGTGACCGTAATTCTACATACATTTGAGCTTGAAGTAGCTGTGACTGGAACCGCAAAAAAAAACCTTACGTCCTTGCATAGGTGCGGGAGAAGTCACCGCCAGCTGCATGTGCTCTCGAGGATCGAGGTGACCGGCTCAGGGGAAGATTTTAGGGCTCAGGGTCCATGGAGAATCAAATGCAAAAGAACAGGGAAAGTGACGTGGCACTTGGGCTTCTGGGTATGTTTTTGTTGGGTCAATCTTTGAGTTACCTAGGTGAACTGGGCTCACTACAGATGGGACTGAAGGAGAGAGTAGAGGTGCGTACCATTGGCCGGAGATGATCCAGAACTTTCAACTTTAGGGCTTGCCCAGGTACATAGAGGGTCTTTGTTCCCTGAAAATATACAACACATACCGATCAGGGTCCTGGTTTTTGGAGAGAAAACCCCGCGCCCAACACCGAAGCGGCATTTTCTAATCCAGTGGCACGGGATACTATAAAATTGTGATGCCTTATTTGGTTCTAGTACAACAAACAGCAAGTGAAAGTTTACAACGCTGACCTGCAGATTGGCCTGCCTGAAGATATCCTAAGCTCCACAAAGCCTTGGCAGTCGCAGGTGCCGAGCCTGTGTCCAAGAGCCGCACGGACCCAAGCTGCAGATGAGTCAGAAAGAAATTTTGTCGACAAAAAAGGGGCTGTAGATCCAAGGTCTAGGATTCAGGGTCGAGGTTGGCCACTTGCTTCAGGTATCCGATAAGGACTCAGGGATAAGCCGCTAGAACGGCGATGCTTAAACAGAGGTTGGAGCACCACCTATGCAACTTCCTGATGTGGTCCCGGGGACTTTTGACTTTGACTGACCTGCCATCAAGGGCCTTTGTGGCTCTGCTTGAGGCCCTGAAGAGTCCTAAATTCAAACAGATTCTAAAGCCTACAAGAACCTCACAGCGTAGTTTCCCCGAAAGTCCGATATGTGTTTGGAAGTCGCTTTTGAGAAATGATGGGCTTGCAAGCTCCACCGCTTTTCTCTTTCTTGTTTGAACTTGACCAAGTTTGCTAGCGGCTAACGAGCACCACTCATCCACGGCACCTTTGCTGTAGGGGCTGAGGGATTAGGTGCCCCAGGAAACACGACCAAGCGCTTCCAAGCAGTTAGGTCACAAGCTCCATTGGTTTTCTTCTTTCATGAGCCGGGGACGGCATTGTAGGGATGGAGTGCCTCAACGAAATGAGTCTTCTGTTTCTCTGAGGCATGTTAGGCAACTGTTTTTTTTGTTTTTTCGTTCTGTGGGTTTCCTGCCGCCTCCATCAATGTGAAAGCCTCGGAACGGAGTCTTGTGTAGGATGCATTTGGGGAGTTAAGGGAGGCTTCTTAAGGTGCGCCCAGGCTCCCATGAAGTACCCTCCCCCAAGCTAACGTGGAATTGGACAGGCCCCGTGAAGACTGCTGGACCCCTTCTAGGGTTCCGCCCGTTTGGGATTCTGTGCCCTCAACGCTAACTCTGCGGGCTAAAAGGCCCCCGGCGCCGCTCTGCGAGCTTGAAGGCATCCGTCCCGAGCTTAAGTTGTAGGGATTAGGGTGATGGTTTAGTGATTTCTCAAATGCCTGGGGCATTGGGGACCCCAGGTATATATCATATATGGTATTTAGTAAGTGATAGTGGGTGCTCTCCCTTAAGGATTATATCCGGGCTTGTTTTGTCAAGGTCTATTCAAGAGCGCATGCAGCTGTTGGATCAGTCTCTGTATTCCTTATACCAGGGATGCTTCTGTTTAGGGTAAATCGTTCGGCCATGGCTATGGACGGGCAACCTGCTGAAACTGAAGGACTGCGAGGTATCAGCGGTTGCTTAAATTCAATGCATCCTTCCTGGAAGTCTTCTTTTGTTCTTGGACACTTGTATGCGTCAACTTAAGCATACAGTGAGATAGGAGAGCATCACTGGTGTAAGTTTTAGTGGTTTTAGTTTTGCAGATGTCGGTTCCAGTGTCAGTTTGAAAAATGCAGTTTCATTCACTCGGACAAATCCTTGCATAACACTGATACAGCAATAGTTGTCAGATCGAGGGCTTGGGCCCTATGAGAGCTGGGGTAGGTATACGGCCAACAGGGCTGCGGCTGTAGCGGGTTGGCAGTAAGCTTTACTTTTTGAGTCTGGCAGTTCTTCATGGTAAGTAATAGGTTCGACATGTGTTGACCCAGCGGTCAGCAGTCCAAATGAAAGCAGTTCAGGCTTAAGTAGAGTTTCCAAGTGCTGCGGCGGTAGTCCTTGGGTGTGTGGGACCCTATTTTATTTCATGGGAAGAACCGTTTTTTCCCTTACGAGCTCGTATGGAGTGAGTTTGCCTTTTCTGGTACCATTCCCAACATTCAAGGAGGCCTTGTTGGAGAGCAGAGAGGGGAAAGCTTTTTTACAGCAATGTCTTCAACGCCGAACAACATACGCAAGCTACTCTGAAGCTCCTAGTGAGAGATGACGCATAGTAATTATTGTGCTAGGTCGTTTGGGACTGTGTTGTGGATATTGCTCCGGCACGAAATGGGTGACGCTCTTAGGCCCTGAAGCACGAGTGAAAGTCCCGTGTATCACGGTACAATGGCGTAGGACACGTGTTTTACCGCGGCCATTCGGGTTCACAGGGGAACTTGCTGTCCGGTCAATCTTTTTTCATGTCAGGCCCCAGCATCGTAACGCAAAGAGCCTCAATCCTCAAAACCTCTACAGCAGCTGACCCCAAACCCTAAAACACCCCCACCCCGGGCCGCAGACTCCTATCCAGGAGGCGTGAAGTCTGGAAGCCGATGGGAGCAACCATCTTCTGTCACACCCTGAATCCAAGCACTTAGCTGTTGGTCAAGTCTGATTTAGGTATGTCATGCAAATTAGCCCTACACCGGAAAACCTAAAGCAACCCAAGCCCTGATGAGAGATTCCTGGATCCGTGCAGGCACCTATCCTGCGACAGGCTCCGCCACGACAGGCGCCTCAGCGTTGTCCCAACAAAGCTTCAGGGCTTCAAATGGCAGAGAACCGGTTTCCGTGGGTGCCTTCTACTACCCAGCGCAGATTTCCATGTCCCCTTTTCTGCGTGTAGCTGCATCGTTCTTCCGGGCTCAGGCAGTAAACATTTTCCGCCCCCCATCAGGTAATGACAAGAAGCGGTCGAGAATATTCAAGGCCACAGGAAACTATCTTGCCAGGTCACGGTATATTCGACCTATCAAAAAGGCGATTTACAAAATTCATTTGCATTTAGATGTCTGCATTACACTCGAGAACCACGCATCTAATCTGAGCCACTCTAAACTCTAAACCCTGAACCTTAAATCTGAATTTGAACAACCGAGCCCCTTATTGCCGCGACATCGAACTCTATTGAACCTCAAAATCACATCGCCCGCTCGTTTTTTCCTCGCAATGGAGCGGCGCGTTTCTTCCTTGTTGGCCCACACAAGCCCAACCTTTGAGAAGCTGAGACCCGTGTTCCGCCTTGCAACTTGGAGAATGAGGGTAAGAACTACAGATGAAGCCCTCCTAACTATTACTATATATCCCCTATCTAATCCCTATGTAACCGTTAGTAGTTTCCATTTTCTTCTCCATTATCCCAATACAGCCCCTTAAGCTACTAACCCAAGATTCGCAGCTTCACCCAATCCAAAAGCCCTAAATGCTCAAGCTTGCACACATGAAGCCTCAGGCGGCAGCCGGGTATTTGCTGGAAATAATGAGAGTTTGAGTGGTGTTTATGACATGTTTTAATATGTGAGGTCTTAGCCTTTTCTTCTGGCCCCGCTAGTGATCCAGCAGAAGTCTGGAATCTTACGTGGCGCCATGGCCGACACTGATGGCCCGACGAGCGGCCCAGGGAAGCCTGCAGTTACTCGGTGCTTCCCAGAACTTCCGAAGGACCTTCTTTCAGACAACACAGGGAGCCTCTCAAAACTCTGGTTCTGTAGCGGGGAGGGCAAGGCTAGAGGGAGGAGGATAGGTGGATCGACGAGTTATGACGAGGTTGCACTTCATGTTGAGATGCGTCGGTTGGCTTCCATTGCACTCAGGCCGGACGATTGCACTCAGCGTCCAGCCATATGAGCTATAGTCTAAACTCCTAGTATCCCCCTTAATAACCCTTATAGTAGCTCTCTACATAATTCCTTATATATCCCCCTTTAAGGAGTTTAGACTATAGCTCATATGGGAGACAAATTCTCGATTGGAACCAACTTGTCACCTCCAGCGCATGTAGAAGAAACCCCTTCAGCTGCTATGCAGCACACCGGCTGGCATTGCTACCATATACAAGGTTTTAAGCTGTAAGGTAAGGACAGTAAGGAGGGTCAGGTTCATGGGTTCCCCTATTGCCTCTTTATACTACGCCCCGTCCAAGGTAACCCGTTGGGGATAGTATGGGGGTTATGGGGGGGGGGAGGTAGTAGCGGAACTCATGGCACATGGAGGGTTCAAAGGCAGGGAGTGGGTGGGGGCTAACCTTTCTACTGGAGGTCATAAGGATTCGTGAGCTCTAGTCGAAATTCCTTAAAGGAGGTTACATGAGGCCCTATATAGAGTTCCAGTTCCTATTAGAGGGCTTCTTAAGGTGGCTCCTAGGAGTTGAGAGTTTAGCTTCCACGGGACCATGTCCGGAGGATCACCCGCTGTGGACGCTGGAAATGACCCGAGAGCCGCCAGTCCGAGATTCCTGAAGTTTTGATGAGGGTTTAGGACTTAGGATTAGGGGGAATAATGGAAAAGAAGATGGAAACTACATTATACTAGGGTATATGTTGGGGTAATGGATAGGGGAACGCGTTGAAAGTTCTTGTCTCCAAGACATGATGGGTGTCTACTCAACTTCTGGATTCCAGTTATCTTCTGAACCAAACAAAGCTTTCACTAGGGAAACTGAACACAAAGGAATGGTCTGCAGTGGCTCCTTGGCGCTGCTTTGAAAACTTTTGGGCAGTCTGGGTTCTCAGCTAGGAGCGATTTAAGTGTTTTCAGGCAGCTAGGTCATTATGTGTGTTACTGGTTGCACCACAGTCATGAGGTTTTGGCATACAGAATGCGGCAGTTTTGGGATTGGGCTTCAGAACTTCAGACATGATTACCAAGCACCAGGACAGCTCACTGAGTCTTGCCTTAAATATGGTTTAGAAGCCTGCCATTGCAAGAATATCATGAAGCAGCATCATGCGGAAATGCAGATCAATGAGGACGCGTCCCGCTTTTGTCTCAAGCCGATTAACCCTGAGGGTCCAAGTACCTAACGGCCATATACCGCTCCAAACCCATCCTATAGTCTCTACTACAAAACATTCAATTTAATTATTAGATCATCATGTGCCTGGACCCAACGGGCAATCCAGGTTTAACAATCCGTTTGCTTCGGATGCTTGCCTTCTGGTCGGCGGACGCTACTTCTTTGTGCACCGCCCGATGGTAGAGGATCACAGCAAGACCCTGCGTGTGCTGCTGGAGACTTGTATCCACATAGCTGCTTTTTTTGTGGAGTGCTCCTTTGTTGGACAGATCGCAAGAACTCATCGCCATCTTTGAGTATTTCCATGACAGGTCTGCGTATGGCAGAATTGAAACCTTTCCTGTAGATTTGGCTTGGTAAGGAACATTTAATGTCATATTGTTTCGTATTTGGGGGAGGTCATTGGCTTGGCTCTGTTCTGCAGGATCTTTAGGCTTACGGTATGTGGGGGAGCTCTACGTGTGATTAAAGGCCACATTGGCAGATGTATTCAACACATGCCTGTGAGGACGCAGCTTGTGCAGGGCTTCAACTCTGAGACTTCCAAAATTTGCGCTTCCATGTTGAGCAGAAATCTTCACTCAATATAGACCAA